TTTTTTTTTTTTTTTTTTTTTTTTTTCCCCATATAAAACAAAATTGCTTTGAAAAGAGCTGCATGGGATGCATGATGGAGTGGAACATTTACTTATGTGGTGAGATTTCAGTCTTTTCAGTTAGCTCCTGTAAAGCATGAAGGTAACGTGCTTGATTGACTGTATGTTGTGAAGGAACGAATTTATAATGGACAATTCCTTTAATATCAGAGGAGCAAATTAGTATTTTCTTTAACTTCAGGTTTAAAATGCACACTTTTTCAATGTTGCAAACATAGGATTTTTTTATTGAGAAACTTTTGTGTTTGTTTCTTGGGGTCAGACTGAATGACCCATGTGTTATCATTGATTACAGCTTACAACTTTTACAAAACTGGTTTTCCAGCATCCTTTTTGGGAGGTCTGAATACAGTGCTTTCTTTCTATGCTTTTGCTTTATGTACAGGTGTTTTATATTGTCATGTGTTGGCGACCAGCTGTAGGGTTTGGACTGGTGATTTAATTTATTGAAGGTTTATAACTTGTAACTACAAATAATTACTCTTATAATGCTACTGCTAATCTGCACATGTAACAAATCACTATAGCAAGCACTGTCTCTGTTATAGTCTTTATTAGTCTTTGCTTGGTACTGTTCCCAACAGTGGAGATTCTGCTCTCATGCCTGTGTTTTTGCCAGCTGGCTACCATCCCACAATGAACTAACTTTCATAACTTCCTAGCCATGACTGATTTAACTTTTCGTGATGGCCCTTGCTATGTAGTCTCAGCACATATGGCATAGAAATAACTGCTTCCTGCAGTTCCTCTGTTGTGTGCATATCTGTTACCACACAACACGTGTTTATCGAATCATTGCCTAGCAATGGACAGTTTTTTCTGATTCAGTTATTCTCCCTTTCAATTATCATGTCAGAATATGATTTGTATTCTGTAATAGGAATTTGTTGATGCTCTCACTCTATCCTTAACTCTACTTTTCTCTTAAAAAATAATAAAAATGTTGCCATAATTAATTTCTGTTTTACTTGAACTGAGGTTACAGTTCTGATGGCTTTATATATTTCAGTTCAGGTCCTTTATTTGAGTGCTTGTGAACAGTAAACAGGCTATAACAGGCAAGCATTATAAATGTATACAAAACTAAAATCTGGTCTAAGAATCAATACCAGAAGCTAAACAAAACAAATAAGATGTTAATGTATTAATGCAAGCCATGAACTAAATAGGATTTTACGAGGAAAGAGTATCCTCAAGGGAAATAGTGTGTTTATTAAAAACATCTAGAAATTGGCAATTTCTGTATGCAGCTGTGACACACCTTGATAAAAAAAACTAATCTTTTTAAAAATTATTCACAGTAAAAATGGAAAAGTCCATAATTTCCTTAGTAGAAACACAGATACCAATGGTATCCATAATAGAACAGCAGTTGATTTTGCCCTTAAAAACATTAATGCAAAATGAAACATAGAGATGCCATCTGGAATAAAGTGTTCTGGAGTTCAAATTATTCAGAATTTGATCATAAGTGCAAGGAAAACCAGATTGTAATGTAGGCTCACAAATGTCCTTTTTATATTTTCTAGCGTAATAGAATCTGTCAACGTAAGGTTATTCCAGGTGACTTCAGACTCTCAAGAGAAGAAAAGTTATATATAATGAAATTAGTAAGTCTAGCAGTTCGAATACATGAGAATATAGGTAGGCAGTATGAAACTGAAAATGCAGTTTTCTCTCTAACACATCACCAAGATCTTTTCTGCATTTCATACAGTTAAACATTACCAACATAGTAATTGTTGCTGCAGTGGTGGTTGTGATGATTGTGATGATGATGCTGTTTCTCCAATTTTTCTAATTGCAGTATGATGGAAAACAGAATCCAGTCTGTAGTTGATGAAACCCAAAGGAAGCTTCAGCCACTGATTTCACATATAAGGAAGCAGACTTCAGTGGGAGCCAGTATTCTGCATAAAAGGCTCACAGCATAAAAAGTGTTTTCAGATTCTTTGAGAAAAAGACATGTTGGAAAACTGGAATTGTGCACAAGAATATATATTTTCTGTAAGTGGATTATCTCTGTTCGACATATATAATAAAAATCAGTGTTATATGAAAATTATTTTCGTGTAGTTATGATGCATTTCTGCAGCTACTCAAGAACTTCCCAGCATTTTATGGAACCTGCAGGTACATTATCATGCCCACAAGAGTGCTCCACTGGTCCCTATCCTGAGCCAGATCAATCCAATCCATCCCATCCCATCCTGTCTCTCTAAGATCCCGTTTAATACTCTCGACCCACCTACATCTTCATCTTCCTAGTGGTCTCTTTCCATCTGGCTTTCCCACCAATATCCTATGTGCATTCCTCTTCTCCCCCGTTCATGCTATATGACCCACCCACCTCATCCTCCTTGACTTGATCATTCTAATCATACTTGGAGAAGAGTACAAGTTATGAAGCTCCTCATTATGCAGTTTTCTCCAACCTCCTGTCAGCATTTATGCATATAGAAGTATTATTTTTATGTTTGTTAATCTGACATAACATAGATCTGTGGCACATAATGACAATAGCATTCCATAACTTCCAGGTTCCCAGCAAGCATGTTTGTGTATGTTTGTATTTTTACTGGAGTGAATAATGCTGACAGTGGTAAATATGAACTTCATTCTTGAATAGCCCTGCAGACAAAATTGAGGGGGGTTGGATTTGGTGAACTCAATGACCAGGAAGTGGACCCTCTCAGGTAATTCAGTAATCAGGCAGCTGTGTGTTCAGGGATGTTGTGACATTGTGGTTATGTGACAGCACACTAACCTATTAGAAAACAATGTCAAGGAGAGTTTCATTGATTTCTCCACAAAGAGGGAAAGTCCATACACTTTGCCAGAGGTCATAGCACAAAATACATTTGCCTTCAGGCCATCCCTCAAATATTGAACTATGTTGCAAGAATTGTAGTTACCCATACCAAACTGTATGCTTGTTCACCCTTGCACAAAGATAGTCCATCATGACACTGCAAAATCATAACATAGCACTTCATCATTTGGTGTTAAATGCTGCAGTAAGGAAGGATGGCAAGATGTGTTCTCAGAGTCTTTCATGCAGTTGGTTGGTTGTACATTCAGCTGACTGCTAGGTCAGTTCTTAATTCTGTTGGCCTTCGAATAAGCACCTGCTGAATGTAAATATTTCTGCGCTGATGTCTGACCAGCCTGAACTTTTCACTTTGCATATGCATTCAATGCCTGTAAAGCTTTTATATCACTCGAATCGAATTTGCACTTGAAAGATTTTCTTGGTACTTCCCTGAAAATTCTATTCAGTAGTGATTGATTTCCTTTTTGGGGGGGGGGGGGGGGGATGAATTCTGAACACAGTGCTCTTCCAAGTTAATTTGTCATCTTGCATGGTTACATTCTTTGTGGGCAACATTGGAGTTATCTTTTCCCATGTCCTTTAAAAATGTTTGTTGCTTTCTCCAGTGGTTTAGGTTTAATTTCTGCATGCCTTCTGATTTCTTTCAAATAAATTTTTTAAGCTCCTTTGACCATTTATAATCCCTCTGTATATTTACTTCAGGGTACAAATTTTATCTCAAAAAGCATAGAACAAAACAAATGGAGTTTATTTTTGTGCACTTTATGCACTGAAATAAAGAAAAAAGGCAAAACATGCTAGTCACCAACTAGAAGCTTCGATGTTAGTCAAATTCTATTTGTGATTAAATGAACTTTACTTAAATTTGAAGTTTTTGTTATCTTTTGTCCTACTCCGTCATAAATGTTAACTCAGCTATTTTCACTTCACTCTCAAAATAGGAAATTTGCAAACAGGTTGTAATGGATTACTTCAGTGTTCGGGAATTACCATGGACTGCTGTTGATAGGCATTTAAAGGATCTGTACCGTCATAGTATGTAGGTGAGTCAATAAGTAAGTTACAAATGGATATAGAACTTAAACAAATAAAGAGTACTGATTTGAAAAATACTTTTATTTCTCAACATAATCTCCCTGTACATTGAGGCACTTGTCCCATTGTTTCAGAAGCCCCTGAAAACCAGCAGCATAAAAGTCTTTGGGCTGCTGTCGGAACCAGGCACGTTCACACGGCATGACTTTTCACAAAGTCTGCACGATGGGTGCCGTGCATGCTGACCCCACAACACAAAATGCAAGAATGCTACCACGATGAAGGACACGATATGCTAGCCCGAATTGTCACAGGTGATGAGTCTTGGGTTCACCATTACCAGCCCGAGACAAAGCGTGCGTCAATGCAGTGGAAACATCCCATGTCGCCTGTCATAAAAATGTTCAAAGTGACACCATCCTCCAGGAAAGTGATGCTCACAGTCTTTGGGATCACAAAGGCATACTGTTCACCGCATTCCAGCCTCAAGGCAACACACGCCTGGTTCTGACAGCAGCCCAAAGAATTTGATGCTGCTGGTTTTCAGGGGCTTGTGAAATGATGGGACAAGTGCCTCAATGTACAGGGAGATTATGCTGAGAAATAAAAGCATTTTTCAAATCAGTACTCTTATTTGTTTAAGTTCTATATCCATTTGTAACTTACTTATTGACTTACCCTCATATAAAGCGGCCTCCGTAGTCTAGGGGTAACGTTCCCACCTCATGACTCAAGGTACACGGGTTCAAACCCAGCGGAGGTCGTGGAATTTTTAAGGGTGGAAAAATTCAGGGAACAAGTCCTCCAGGAGGGACTTTAAGCCGTGGGTCCTGTGTCATAGATTTACAGCACGTACAAGATCTTCATGTCTCTAGGAGACCTGAGCAAAATTAGGCAAAAGTTTCCCGCCCAAGTAGTTTCCAATGCCTCCGGTAGATGGGGAAGCATTGGATACCAGTGCCAGAAGAGGGCCAACCTCGCTGGCAGAATGGGACTGATAGCGAGCACCAGTACCGGTAGGATATGGCGACAGTAGAAATTAAAGGGGGACGTACAATAGACTACTAGTTGCCGTGCATGGGGAAACCCACCCCCTCCAAAAAAAATAATAATAATAATACCCTCATAAAAAATCAAGTTTCTGTTGTGTCTATTGACCTGCATAATGAGAATGTTGTGATTTGTACTCTTTGCTGAATATTATTAGGGTGATTAGATTGAGGATGAGACGGGGGCATAGGAATGATCAAAAGTATGTATGAAATTTTACTTGGGGAAAAGAGAATGAAGAGACTGTTTGGTGACCTAGGCATAGATGGATGTTAAAAATGTGTCTAAAATAGATACAAACAAAACAAAGTCCGTGGCCTGTAATCTGGAAGCAAACTATACTGACTGAGCAACCGCAGCTTGTCAGTGAAGTAGATGTATAGCTAATACATCCACTCCCCCAGAGACCTTCATGGCATAGTGCTTAATTAGTTAAGTACAGGGACAACTTTAACATACCTTTACCTTTATTTGCTATATGTGCATTATATTATGGGTTCTAATTGCCAAAAAATTTGAATAAACAGATCTTTTGACATTATGTATGTAAGAAATGGTTGTGAAGCTGCTGTCATACACCTAATTACTCAACTATAAAATGCATGTAATAGTAGTGGCACATAAACCATAACTGTTTAATATCATCTCCTGTTCTTTATTTACCATAAGTTTAATTCTGATGGCAGTAAGATGGTGTTCTGATATGCCACTGGCCAAATTATTACTGTCACAGAGTATGGGATATACAAATTAAAGCTCCTTATCTGATTATTTCATCACATGGTTCAAAGTGTCAGTAAATTAAATATTAAGTATGAGAACTATTCAGAAAGTAACCTCAAGTAAACTCTTACCAAAACGAGCAATGAAAAAAAAATTATAACCAAAATTACATATATACTTAATCTAGTTCTCAACATAGTTTTCACGGGAATTGAGGCACTTGTCTTATTGGGGAATATGTTTTTGTATGCCTATGAGCTCAAATATGTTTGGACACCTTTCAGCAGCTCCTCATTATTGGTGAAGCACTGTGATCTCAACCAGTTCTTCAAGTGGTAAGTCACTTGAAGCGAGATCAAGGCTCTAAGGAGGGTGGTCAGGAAACTCCTAGCTGAAATGCTCCAGCAGTGCTTGAGTGCAAGCATCTGTAATCATATGTGGACATGCTTTGTCATGGAGGAGCACTACACCATATATCAGCATTCCATGCCTTTTGTTCTGAATGGCCCTCCGCAGTTCTTTTTAGTGTTTCTCAATACACTTGACATTATTGGTCCCTTGTTGCATAAATTCCACCATCAGCACACCTCTCCTATCCTAGAAAACAGTTGCCATCAGCTTTCCGGCAGACTTTTTTAAAAACTTTTTTGGTTTGTTTGGTGATTATGTGCATCCACTGTTTTGACTGCTCTTCAATTTCAGCATTCACAAATGAAACCCAGGTTTCATCACCTGATACTTATAATGATGTTACTGAGAAGTTTGTCACCATATCTGTGGTATCACTCTAAAAATGTCCACGCTGATGCCATTCTCTGCATTTTGTGCGCACCTGTGACCATTTTTGGAACCCATCTTACACGAAACTTGTGATCGCCTAGCCTGTGATAAATCTCACGAAGAGTGCATGAAATTTGTGGAAACTCACACGAAAGTTCTGAAATTGTGAAGCGCCGTCTTTCACAAATCACTTTGAACAAGACCATCACTCAGTACAGATGGCCAACCATCACTCATTATAGACATTTGTTTGCCCATCTTTGAACATTCTACAGCATCGTCTTATAGATCTTCACACGTTACATTCTGGCTGTAAACCGTGCTAATTCATGATGGATTTCTGCAGCACTCATGTTTTCAGAGTAAAGAAAGTGGATAACAGCAAATTTTGCAGCTGACAAGATTATCAATCACAGGACACATCATAGCTCACTCTGTAGAGATAAGAACAAACACTAGATGACCAGTTATGTGATGGTTTACAAGGCAATGAGTTATGTGATGCTACCTCGCATGCGCAAGCTCTCCCCCGCTCCTACATTAGCTGCCTGAAATAAATGGAGGTTACTTTCCAAATAGCCCTCATATCTCATAATGTACCTACAAATATGGATTTCCAGTAATGTAATTATGTC